CAAGCCTAGCAGAGTAAAACATGAACCTATTAATACAACAGAACAAAAGAAAAATAGAAAATGGAAGAAAAATACAAGTAGAGAGAAAAGTCAGAAAAGGAAGTACTCAAATTTTGGAGTTATGAGAAGACATTGAAGGTGAGATGTAAGAAGCAGAGATAGGACAGGGTGGGTAGAAAGAACTGGTAATTATTTGCAAAAAAAGGAAAATATTAAAATCATAAAAGTAAGTGTATTGGGTTTGCATGACACGGTTTGGGGGTGGGGCAGGTACAGGGGTGGATTCTGTGAGAATCTCCCAGAAGCTTCCCCCATGTCCAACAGAGCCAACACCAGCCGGCTCTAAGATAGACCCGCTGCTGGCCAAGGCCGAGCCCATCAGCAACGGTGGTAGCGCCTCTCAGATAACATAGCAGGCTCCTGGCAGGACCTGTGGACCCATGGGGAGAGGAGCCCACGCTGGAGCAGGTTTGCTGGCAGGACTTGTGACTCCGCAGGGGACCTGTGCTGGAGCAGTCTGATCCTGAAGGACTACAGCCCGTGGAAAGGACCCACACTGGAGCAGGTCATGAAGAACTGTAGTCAGTAGGAAGGATTCACATCAGAGAAGTTAATGGAGGACTGTCTCCCATGGGAGGGACCTCTCACTGGAGCAGGGGAAGAGTGTGAGGAGTCCTCCCCTTGAGGAGGAAGGAGCAGCAGAGACAACATGTGACAAACTGACCCCAACCCCTATTCCCCGTCTGCCTGTGCCATCTGGGGACAGAAGGTAGAGAAACTGGGAGTGAAGTTGAGCCCAGGAAGAAGGGAGGGGCGGGGGGGGGGGTGTTTTAAGATATGTTTTAATTTCTCATTATCCTTCTCTGATTTGATTGGTAATAAATTAAAGCTTGAACTCATCTTTCCCTGCTTTCCAGAAGTGCCCTATGTCCTACATTAGAAAATACTCTGTAATGCTCTTCATTCCTCCACGTGGTTCTACGCTGTTAGGCAAAATGAAATGCAGTAATAAGCTAAAGGAGTTTGTCTCCTGGAATTTTAGCATGCTGATTTTAGGTATGTTGGTCAAATGGGTAAGTCATACTCACATAATCCTACATATAAGAAATATGATAAACCAAATTTACTAAACAGGTTCCAGATAAAACAGGAAGACAGGCAGACAAAAAACATTATGGAAAATATTTCTGCCAAATTTTGAAAAGGTTGATTTTGAACATCTGGTTTCTCAACAGTTCCAGAAAATCCATTTCAGACTTTTTGCTGACAGGATTCTCTTTAGATAGCCAAAGCAAGTTTAGAAGACAAATCATAACTATGAAATAATATATGGTGTTTTACTTCTTCATAGTCAAAATATAAACTGTTGCTATGAAATAATACTGGTACTACATACTAAGGTAAGAAAGCAAGCACCCAACATAGCAATCACCACATGCTCACCTCCATCTGTAATGGTGCAAAAAACTGTAACAAGCCAAAAGATCAACTACAAATATTACCCTTCCAATAACTGGGTCTGTAATCACCCTGAGAACATAGATTAACACACACATATTCCCTAATAATAGAAGGCCTTTAACATGGTCCCCCACAACATCCTTCTCTGTAAATTGGAGAGATATGGATGTGATGGGTGGAATGTTCAGTGGATGAGGAATTGCTTGGATGTTCACGTCCAGAGGGTAGTGGTCAATGGCTCAATGTCCAGATAGAGACCAGTGATGAGTGGTGTCCCTCGGGGTCCATACTGGGACCAATACTATTTAGCATCTTAATCAATGACAGAGACAGTGGGATCAAGTGCACCCTCAGCAAGTTTGCTGATGACACCAAGCTGAGTGGTGTGGTTGACATGCCTGAGGGATGGAATGCCAGCCAGAGAGACCTGGACAAGCTTGAGAGTAGGCCCATGTGAACCTCAGGAGGTTCAACAAAGCTAAACGCAAGGTCCTGCATCTGGGTGAGGGCAATCCCTAGTATCAATACAAGCTGGGGGATGAAGGCATTTTAGAGCAGCCCTGTGGAGAAGGACTTGGGGGTACTTGTGGATGAAAAGCTGGACTTGAGGTGGCAGTGGGTTACATCAAAAGAAGTGGGTCCAGCAGGTCAAGGGAGGTGATTCTGCCCCTCTGCTCTGCTCTGGTGAGACCCCACCTGGAGTACTGTGTCCAGTTCTGGGGTCCTCAGCATGGAAAGACATGGAGCTGTTGCAGTGTGTCCAGAGGAGGCCATAAAAACAATCAGAGGGATGGAACCCCCCTCCTATGAAGACAGGCTGAGAGAGTTGGGGTTGTTCACCCTGGAGAAGAGAAGGCTCCAGGGAGACCTTATTGTGGCCTTTCAATACTTAAAGGGGGCCTGTAAGAAAGATGGGGACAAACATTTTAGCAGGGCCTGTAGTGGGAGGACAAGGGGAAATAGTTTTAAACTGAAAAAGGGTAGATTTAGACTAGATATAAGGAAGAAATTTTTTACAATGAGGGTGGAATAGATTTCCCAGAGAGATGGTAGAAGCTCCATCCCTGGAAACATTCAAGGTCAGGCAGGACTGAGCTCTGAGCAACCTGATCTAGTTGAAGATGTCCCTGCTCACTGCAGGGGGATTGGACTGGATGACCTTTAAAGGTCCCTTCCAACCCAAACCATTCTATGATTCTATGAAGTTGTCCATAACTGTGTGACTACTTACCACTCAGAACAAGAAAGAAGTCATTAAGGTCTCACAGAAATAGTTAATCTTTTTTTCTAAAGGAAACAGCTCATTCAGCTAATGAGCTGTTACTACTTGCAACCAGTATTTCTCACAAAGTCCTCAGCCAAAGGTAAATGCAGACAGTGTACTCTGATGACTGAAAAGAAAGCATCTTTATTCCCAGCTTTCTAAACACCCTCCTCCCCTCCCACACATACACACTTAGCACCATTGTGAACTAAATATTACTGTATTCAAGAGGCTAAATGGGTGAACAAACTGATGCGAAACTACCTTTTTCCTGCATACTGTAAAACCAGTTTTATTTCTTCTTCTATCTATGGATCTTTCAGATTTCCACAGTGCTGTCTCACTCCCTCTTGTTTTATACTATTAAAAGAAGATGCAGAAAGACTGGATGAGGTGTCAACACATGTAAGACAACCCAGTTTGTATTACTGTTTTATGCTGGTCACCACTACTTAACTCTGTTTTCTCAGTACCTACTTAAAACCACATTGCACTTGAAGAGAAGCTGGCTAAAGATGAACCTAGGAAAAACTAACATCATGTATTCAGGAGAAGATCATTGATGAACACCCAGCCACATGACCTCAAACAGCCTCATATTGTCAAGACGGTTTGGACTTCCCATTCAACTTCATACCCAAATGGCTGTGATGATAAAAGCACACTCATCCACTTGCAGCTGACCAAGATTGTGCTCTTTCCACTTAATGAAGAAAGGACCAAAGTGATCCATGCGTGAATGGCGTCCAGACTTCTGCAACAAATCTCTCATAATTACACCACATTATGTTGGAAAAAGCCGAACACACCTCCACAAATACTTTGCTGCTATATTCTAGTCCCTGTTCCAGCATTCTCCATTTTCTGCAGAGTTCCTTGTTTTACACAAACCTCAACTCATAATCTCTTGTCTTAATAAGCAAGATCTCCACTGGGAATGGCTCTTGCGTTCCCTTGCACAACCACGACCTTACACTGTTTCAGCAGAAAATGAAACTCTCGGACAACAAGACAAAGTTCATGAGTGAAAATGCAGCAACTTTCTCAGCAACTGAATCCACATCAGAAAACCTCTGAATAAAAGTGGACTTGCCATTTTGAAAATTAAACGTAAAATTCATGCTTCTAATGCTTCAGTTTCCTCTTGGTTAGCTATACACCCAAAACAGATCCAACCTTCCAGGGAAATAGCATACTCATGAACTTATTCTTACTGAATGGAAGGCAGGAAAGATTTTTATTTCTATTTTTACTTCATGAAAGGAGAGATAACAACACACATCCCCTCTGTAAACTACAATTCTCTAAAATTTGGAGGGGAAAAAAATAAAGATCTTAACCTGAGCCAGACAGCTTACATTTACTGAAACCAAGACCCTAGGAAATCGTGTATCCCACGTGACCACTTTTCAGAAAAGCCTCTAGAATTACAGCACAGGTTAAACAAAAAGTTAACAGCTCGCTTGCAGGGTGCTAGAATTCAGGCTTACAGTTCAGTCTTTTTCTCTGGGGAAAGGAAGTACCTACAGATACTCTTCAGCAACAACTATGTTAAATATCAAAAGAGAATAAATGAACTCTTGGGGTAAGACAGAGCTGCATTTAGCTTCAGCTTTCTCTGTGGCCTTGGTTATTTCCTCTAAGTTTTATCTCTAAAAGAACATTCTGTTACAAATTACTGTTTTGGCTGAAGGAACCCAAGGAAATTGTATTCCTTTATAGATGCCCCGTGTTTAAACAGCAGTACTGAAGAACTTCATGATTTAATTTGTATACAGTTCCCTTGACACTTCTAGAAATTTCACGTTTAATGATTAAATAATCATGCAGTGTAAAAGTTACCAAGATAGCAGCACAGCTGGGAGATAACAAAAATATTCTAGTTGAATGAACCAGACTTTTTGCTTACTGAGGTATCCACTGATGATATATTAAATAAAACTATTCTAATTCTAAAACAATAGAAAACAATGAAAAGCAATACAAAATAAAAGCTACAAGTGTTAAAAATAAACAGTGCTAGGCTTGGAATATGGAGACAAATTAATTTTAAGGTACTACATTGAGTGTAAGCACTTACAAATCAACATGGTTTTTTACACCCTCGGGGGCCTTTCAATGTGCCGACCTGTAAAGCGAAGGTAAAGTCACTTACAACTAGCTGAAGCTCTCAAAGATGCACAGTACACATAAGCCAGTGTATAGATCATTCAGGTCTGGTGAACATTTTTAATCTTAGACTACCCTCAGAAGAGGCATGCGTACCCAAACATACCTTGTCCTCATCCTCAGCCCTGCAACAGCATAGGCTATGCACCCCATGCTCAGGGAGCCACTCCCCTTAGAACGGCTCTGGGGGTCTTGGTGGGCAGCTGCTGACCAACAAGAACCAAGCTCCTCCTGGGCTGCATGAACAGGAGAAGTCATCGTCCCCCTCTGCTCCACACTCATTAGACCACATCTAGAATACTGGGTCCACTTTGGGGACCTCCAGTACAGAAAGACATTGATAAATTGGAACGAGCTCAGTGGAGGGCCACCACGATGGCTGAGCATTTGGCCTGTGAGCAGAGGCCGAGGAAGCTGGGTTTGTTCAACCTGGAGAAGAGACAGCTTTGGGCACCTGACAGCAGCCTGGCAGTACCCATGGGGAGGTCACTGAGGCTCTGCACACTGGTGCATGGTGGGAAGATGACAGACAAAGGCATGAGTTGGAACAAGACAATCTCAGACTGGATTTAAGGAAAACTTTTCATTACGAGGCCAAGCAGGTGGTGGAGCTGGTTGCCCAGCGAGGTTTTGCAGTCTCTCTCAGTCCTTGGAGGTTTTCAAGAACCAACCCTTGGCAACATGGTCTGGTCTAAGAACTGGCCTGCTTTGAGCTGGAGGCTGGACTAGAGACTTCCTAAGGTCCCTCCCAACTTGAATTATCCTAAGATCCGGAAGAACTCAGTCATTGTTAAATTATCTTTTTTACTTTGAGTCCACAATTATATTCACACTATCTGTAGTTCCAAGTTGTCCTCCTGATGCCATTAATTAGCTGGCAAAGGGTATCTGAATGGTTATCGAATAGAGCAACTACAGAACTGCTTTAGGAAGTGCCACAGGCAAGCTCAAGGCTTCTCTGTCATCACTGCAAAAAGGACAGATCTCATGTCACTGTTCTTGAAGATGGGTGGAAAAATTGGAGACCTTCCCTTGCAGATTTTGGCCTGGTCCTGTCACAAGGAAGGTGTCGCAGAATCTCAAGTATAGTGACCTGCTTGCTGTGTAGATTTATTACAGAAGGCAGAACTGGAAGTAAAATCTACTGTGAAGTATCACAAAGATTCAGTACATTCAAATTTGTTACAGGAGACACTGATGCTGAGCAGCTGACCAGAAGGTAAACCATTGATACATGGCTAGTATAAACTAGAATTTACTGTTCCAAAGTCAACAATTGATCAAGTGAACTTTATAATCTGTAGTGATACAAAATTTGACTTTTAAATGCTTATCTTGAGAACCGGATGCACAAAGAGAAATCAATCAGTACGGAGAAACTGAAAAGTCTGGTTAATAATGGGATATACAGAAGAACGACCATCAAAACATTGAAAAAAAATTTTTCCAAATCTTAACATGAACAGCATCTGCCTTCAGCATGCTGGTGAAGACTGCAGGAACTGCAGACAGCCAAATGCATAAAGGATAAAAATGCTATTGATTGTAGCCCTCAGCACATTACTGGTGTTTATGTTCCAGTGCCCTTAAAAGATTGGAGGGGCAAAAGTTCATTACTGGGAGTTCAGTACTGCATTATGGTAAAGAAACTTCTGCTTCTGTGTTCTGAAATTATCTGCTTCTGAAATTATTATTTTGCAGATATAGCCTTTAATTTAACCATCTGAGGCCTTACCTGAGGCATCTGTGTGCTTCTACTGAGAACAAGGTGTCACTTTTACAGAGGTATCCCTAGTTGGTGCCGGGGGATCTGACAGAGCTATAAATCACACAGTTGCTGAACTGGAGAAAGCTGACATGTGCTTAACATCTTTGTGTATATTTGGTAAGCCAAATGCTACAGATTCAGCGCCAATACACAAGCTTCATCCATGTCACAGGACTCTGCAGTAACTCCACGGGCCCCACTGGTCTTGTTTTTATTGTAAGTCTCAAGAAAGAGACAGACACTTCCTTGAGGCAGTCAGGCATCCCAATCACTTTGGTCCCAGAGGTGCACAGTGTGGTGCTGGTCCCTGGCAGTGACCAAGAGGCTCACTGCAACCTCAGACACCTGAACCAGATGAAGCCTTTCGTGGCTTTCTCAGCTCCACTCCTGTGCAACACCAGCATCAGATCCCTTCACCTGCTAAATTTAAAAGAACCGCAAATAGAGCACTTAGCAGGATTTTTAAGCAATAAAAATACTTCACATACAGCTCAAAGATGGAATTCAAACCTCCCCAGTCTCGCAGTAATAGGCACAAATTATAAAGACATTACTGCTTTAAACAAAGAGAACAGGATACAGAATAATCCACCACGCGGAAGAAAATCTGCCTAAGCAGCAAGTGGTTCATCTCTGCAGAGTGGCTGCAGGAGCAGACATGTCTCTGAGCATGTTACAGGTCATGCTGTAACCCACTTCTCCCTCCAAGGATGAGGAAGGGTCAGGCATCGAGTCTCTACAGATACGGCCAAGGGAAAATAATGATGTGATCTGCAGTGAGGAGGAGTATGTGTACTGACACTGTCAATGTTCACTTAGAGCATCACCACAGAAAGACGTAATTATTTATTGATGCTAACAAAACTATCTAATCCAGACATGAATTCCTACTGTTACACTTACACCCAGTAAGAAAAGGCCTTTCATATTCTTTTATTCTTTTTCAAGAACAGTTCAGAATAAAGTGTTTGCTATTATGCTGTCACCACTGAAAATCTACTGACTTACAGAAGGCACAGTACAAGAGGGATGATAAAAAAAGTCAGTGAGCCGCTAATGAAAGGAAATTTTAAAATCTTCCAGATCATATAAACCCATTCATAATTCATCAGCATACTACACTGACCTTTGTAAATTATAAACTTAAAAAAATCAGGCAAAACTTGGTAAAAAAAAAAAAAAAAGTGTAACTATTACCACTGGTTTCCGTGGGCATGACAGAGGGACCTCAGAATATTTTTAGGCCCTCATGAAGTTAAATATTATTAACACAGTACACCTGTAAGGATGAAGCCATGTAATAACTATAGGACTATATAAGAGTTAAGAGACACCATGTAAAAGCACTGTACATACAGCATGAGTAGCCTGTGGGATCCAGAGAATGGTGGATACACCATATACAGAGCCTTCGCTCCCTCATACTGGTGCATCTGTCCCCCGCAGTCCCCAGCCATTCCTTATATCTGCAATAATATAATAGAAAGAAAAGGCATAACAGGGTGCTTCAAGACCTGAGAGAAGATGGGAACACATGGTTCAGAGTCTCCACTCCCTCACCCAGGTACTACACAACAACTCTGGACCTTCAGTTCTCCATCATGAAGAACAAACTTCTAAAGTTTAATGGCCATAACAGCATGGAGCAAAATGTTTATGTTTAATGCAGTTTTTAGAAGGCAGGGGACCACTGCTGAATGGATTACAGTTACAGGCACTTGTCCCAATCTGTTTTGTAATGTTTATCACTATAATTATATATTGTGATAAGCACAAAAGAGACAGTATGAATAAAACTGGATTTCTCAAGGAAGCAAAGATCGAAAGAACTGAAAGGAAAAAGAACCCTCAAAAGCTAAAGAGAAAGTTTTCTAGTCACCAGTTTTGCTGCCTGCAAAAAGAAATTAAAATTCTAAATTATATTCCCCAATACCCATGTCAGAGGTAAAGGAAAACAGCATGCAGTTCCCCAAATATGTTTGTGGCTGTATCAACTAAAGGAACAACAACCCAAGTGGAAAATGGAATTCTGAGGCTTCCCTGGACTTGATCCTCCACAAAAATAAGAGGACAACATGAAGAAGCAAACAGTTGTGCTGCTCCCACTTCATTTTGTTTGGAACACAAAATAAAACTGTAGGTTAAAAAATCCCAAAGTTCTGACACTAAACATTTGTTTAATAGAGAAAGAAGTGTATATGCATATCCCAGATGGCTGGCAACAAAGAGCTTCCATTAATCCAGCCAGCCCAGGGCTACATTATTCCCTTCTGTGAAGCCACTTGCTTAAGTTCTACCCACTTGCATCAATGTGCAACTTCATTACCTCATCATTAAAGTGTGTTGATTTTATCTTCAGAAGGAAGGACAGTGGTAGTTTTAACTTTCCAGTCATGAAACCAATGCAAGCAAGAAGAATGGAGAAGTTTCATTAGAAAGGAGTATTCGTTAAAAATGGCAACACGGGGATGTAAATGCAGAGCTCCTGCTGGTACCGCTCACGTGACAAACGCGCTAAGCAATCCAGTAGTCAGATGTGATCGCACCCAGCCTATAAACTGACACAATTCCAATCGCTCATATAAATAACGTCTTTGAAAAGGATCCGTCAGTCATGTTGTGTCCTGATTAAGGAGTCCTGTGAGAAAAGTGTGAACTGAGCAGAAATGCCCCTGAAATTTCCTTCATCTCCTGCCCAGTACAACTACTTGCCACTTCAATCTCCATCCAACTGGGCACCTTCGTTCTCACTGAAATTGGTGGGAGATATTTAGCACTTTAAAAAAGTAAGATCTAGTCCTGATTACCCAGGCTTAATAAATTAATGATAGAAAACATAATTCAGTCAGTTTTAACTTTTTGTAAACAAGTTTTTTCTACTTAATAATTCAACTCTAACAAAGAACTTTTAACCATAAATTTTAAAAGCTCTTTTGTCATTAAAATAAAATCACATTACACAGAAACTGATTTTGCTTCACCCTTGAAAATGTCATAGATGTTGAAAGAACTCTGGTCAAACTCCAAACAAGAATTACATTCTGGTCAGAAACAAACCACAAAATGTTACAAAATATCCTAAAAATTATTTGCTAGGAATTTATGGGTATGTCAGAATTGTGGATGTCACTGGCACTTTTTAGTAACCATAATGATATAAGTCCAGTTACTTAAAGAGTTCTTTAATAGAAAAAACACATTCTGAAACTCAATAAACTTCTGTTTTTTATGAAAACTAAGGCTGGTACATTCACTCCAGAAAAATCTGCAATTCATACCAAGCATTTCAAATAAATGTCAGTGCACTGTATCACCATTTCAAGTGTTTTTTCTCCCCCCAACAGGATCACCAACATACTATAAAAATAAAATTTAATAAAAAAAAAAAAAACAATTGGTAAATCATTACCACACCAACCAACAGAGAAAGGCAGTTAGCACCTCTGAAATCTTTTCTGCTCTTTCAGAATGAAAGAAACTTAAAATGTAA